TATTTATGAAAATTGAGGAAAATTTATTTCCTTGATATTATCGAAGTTTTGTATATATATATTATTTATTCATTTAGTTATTTATTTTTGAAATTTTGCACATATATAAATAAGTTTGAAGAAGTTGATAGGGTTAGTGAGAAAATTTTATAAGTAAAAAAAAAAAAAAAAAGTAAAGCCAAATAGTTCAAAATAAAAGGTCTGTTTTTTAATTTATAACTTACCAATTTTGTTAAATTTTAATTGAAATTTTGGCCTTTATATGGCCCTATAATAAGTAAAATTGGAGAAATATATCGTTGTTTCATTTATGGAGGAAATATGCTTGAATAAACCAAATTATCACTCTTTTATATTTGAAAACTTCTCATTCACAACTAGTCTAAGAAAATGATTTGAAATAGCTAAAATTCGAACCTTAAATTGAACAAGAATTCAAAGATGATTCGAACGTTTCTTTTTAAACCATATTCTTGAACATAGGTATTAATGCTCGCGGGAGTAGGAATCGTGGTTGTGATGGGATTGCTTGGGGGTGCATGGACAAGAGTGGACAAGGGCGGTGAAGTTGGGGGCTTAGCCGGGCCACAAGGAATTGACAAAGCTAGGGGCTTGCGGTTGAGACTTGCTTATGAGCGGAAATGATTTCATGATGGGAGGGCTTACCAATGATGAGTTTGATATGCGAGGGAAGAAGATTTTGCAGAGAGAGATGATCGGGAAGGCAATGACAGTGTGTGATAAGAAGAAGAGGCTCAATAGGATCTTGTAATAGGATCTTGTGATCGACAATGTGAAATGGGAAGGAATCACTAGACTGTGCGTGTCAAGGAAAGTTCAAACATTGTTCAAATTTTATTCGAATTAGGTTCAAGCAATGACCAATCAAATATTGTTTGATCTTTATTCAACCTTGTTCAAATAATATTTGTATTCAAGCTAGTTTGACCTGTTTAACCCAAATGATTATTGGGTCAACCTGAACTCGAATTTTTAAAGTCTGATTTTAATTGGATTGTCGGGTTGGATCAATTATTAACACCCCGAATTATGGGCATATAAGTCAATTTTGCCTTTTAACAAAATTAAAAAAAACAATTTAAATTAACGGAATCAATCCCAAAAAAAAATTTAGTTGTTTTTTATCCAAATTGAACAATTCTTTCTTATTAGAATATCATTATTGTTTAGTTCAATATTTATTTCCATATAATATTGTCCGATTTGATTATTTTAAATTATAATAATTTTGAAATCAAATCGAACGATGTTCAACACTAACTGTTTGATTTGCATTTATTTATTTAAACATTAAAATATCTACATTTTTATGATGAATTTCTGACAAATATAAACTCCTAATAAAATTATTTATTTCCATTGTTTCACTTGAAAATAAAAAAGTATTTAATTTACAAAATTTTTAGTTTTTTACATTTTTTACCCAAGGAAAACTTTTAATGTGTTGCAAAAAATTATCTAAAAAATATATATATATATATATGAGCATTGAAACACAATATTATGAATAAATTATTGTAGGTAAGTAATTCAAGAGCAAAAAAAAAATAAAAACACCGGTATTTAACGGAAAAAAATTCAAAACCAATAAAAAACCCCAGAGCCACACCGCACTAAAAAATTAAATATTTTTTTTAAATGCTTCGCCCTCAAACCCCCAAGCAAAAGGGGGACTGTGAGCTGCCCCAACGAGCTCCTAGTCGAGCTTGACAGACAGAATTGAGATTTGAGTCAATAACGTAACCCGATTGATCAACACAATCATACTCCACTAAGAACTAACAATTCTAAGATATAAGTGTAAAATAATATTATTATCAAGATGATAATTCATATAAAATTAGGAGTAAGAGGGAACCTCGCTCCCCTGTGAGCTTAGAACTTACTAGTTCTCAATGTTCACATTTTCATTACAATAGTTCACACGTACGTTTATATTGTCACATCTCACTTCCCATAAAAAAACAAGTGACTCATAATGATAATTATTAGCAAGAAAGAGATTGGAAGGCATCATTAATTGTATTAGAATGGTATTATATTTGAAATGTAAGAGTTTTATATCTTCTAAGTATTTGATTATACAAAAATGAATAGGGGGTAATTTTGTAGGATTTTAAAACATTTTCTTGTAGTTCATTTTTTATGATTTTGGACGATATTCAAATCATATGAATTCCATATATAAGATTATGACCTCCAACATTTTCTGCACAGGGTGCTAGTCTGCTCCTTTTGTTAGCCTTGCTTACTACACGGCTTGATATACCATCAACAAATTATCTTGACCGGGAATGAATCTCGAGGCAAAAATCAAGACGGAAACTTCAAAAGTTAATTCTGGGATCACCTGAACTTTGATTTCAGCAAACTTACAGTCGAACTGATCGTCTCGGAAATACGAACCCAACGACACCAAATTCAACTCAATCCGAGCTCAAATGAGTTCGAATCAAGGATCCAAAATATTGTTGGAAGGTTCGAAATACATTTTGAACTACCAAACGGTTTCCAAATGTGAAATGTTTATAATTGAATCGAGCGGCTCGACGAGACGAATCCAACGAGCCCAAGATCGCTGAATTCCGACACCACTAAGACCTTTAAATGTCTGACAAATGTTCCATGATCAAGGGATTCAATATCAGCCGCCCATCGAACTACTCCACATTTGCCCCTGATCTCTCACCTATTTACGGGCCATGCCACTCCATAAAACTATAAATAGACCCCTCATTTCTTTTGATGGGGGTGGGGAAGCAAGAAGAAGGAGAAGAAAATAGAAGAAGGATAGGAGGGAAGAAACTGTGAGAGCCAGTTTTCCGTGTTTTCCTTCCAGGATCGTCCAAGACGAAGTTGGATCGTCCTGGGACGATCGGTATAGATTTGTACATAATTTATGGCTGGGAGGTTCGTCCCAGGACGAAATAGGGTTCGTATGTACGAAATTTGTCCAGAGAGCAAGTCGTCCAGGGACGATTACTGTTCGCGTCTGAACGAAGTTTGTCCAGAGGGCACAACGTCCCGGGACGATTTTGGATCGTCCCGTACGATCTGCATGGATATATATGAGTTGGAGATCTTTTGAAGAGAGAGAAAAGCCCAGGAGAGAGAAAATCGAAGGAAAAAAAGGAAGAAAAATGATTTTTGGGCGACTTCGGTCCGTTTTCGTCCGTCGTCGTAGTTGAAAAAGTTGATCGACTCGAGGTAAGGCACATCCCGTCTTTCTCAATTTTAAGAAATGAGATTTTTGATGACTTTTCTATTTCAAATGTTATTTCCGTTAGCGAATATTTGGTTTCATTTTGCACTGATAAACTTTCTACCGCGTAACTTTTCGTATGTTTCTGAGATGATATTTGTGCACGTTTTGAGAATTTTCTGGAAGATTTTTATCAGGTATTTTGAAGTCTGTGGCGTTTTGATTGAATTACGAATTATCAGGATGTTGAAAAATGTTACTTCAGTACAATGAAAGTCTTAAAGCTAGATTCTGGATTTTTAACATTTGTCGTGGCCCGACGCGAAGAGATTCGTTCTGGTCAGATTGGGTCGTGACAGAAACTCCTCCTCGACCACCACCGGAATTCTTCCTGACTTCCACGGGATGCCAGAATTTTGTCCGACTTTCACAGGACGCTGAAATACTGCTCGACTTCCAAGTGATGCCGGAATTCTACCCGACCTCCAAGTGATGCCGGAGTCCTACCCGAATACCATCTGACTTACATCGCCCACCGATTACAGTCCTTCCGACCTATGTCACCCGCCGACTACGGTCCTTCGGACTTACGTCACCCATCTACTATAGTCCTTCTGGCCAAACAAACACGTCAATAGTGATTCTTTGCATTCCTACCATGTAATGTACTCTGCAAGATGTACATCAAGCTAAGGTCTTCCCCCAAGGAAGAACCTCATTTGTAATCAACTGCAATAACAGTGGATTCATTCAAATTGGGCTATGCCCCGTGGTTTTTTCTCCTTTTCAGGGGTTTTTCACGTAAAATATTGGTGTCTCATAAATGCTACACTCTCTCTCTTATCTAATTGCGTGCCGAATTTTCGTACAATGCTAAGACGCTAAGCTTTATATTTCTCTATCGTCGCGAATACTCCAAGACGCAACATGGCTAGATATACCTCTTCGTATATAAGTGCTAGTTGTGGCCTCATTATCCTCATGCGTCTATGCCAACCCTTGACTATCATCCTCATATACCATCACTAGATGCAACATCACCTTCTTGCCACATGAGTGATAATCTCCAGTACTGAGCAAAAAAGTGATGTGACCCATTTTGGATGATCTCTGATTGCCGTCTAGGTCCGCACAGAATAATTTTTCCTAACATAAATCCCTAAGGTTGCCAAATTAACTCCTTCATGATTTCAAAATTGCTTCAAAATAAAATATATTTGATTCATAGCACAGCGACGCTCTATTCAAATGCCAAAGAATTGAAATTATGAACTATGCTTCACAAAAAATGGTATACCACTTTCAAGTTCATATAAAATTAATTTGTATCAATCTACAATACTTTGAATATAAGATCTATTAGATCTTTAAGAAAAATACTTCTTTGTATCATAAATATTTATACAACCAACTTAGTTGTCTTTTTTCCATTCTTATCCATACAAACCATATAAATGATTCACATATAAATATTGCTTTTAATATATTTAAAAAATATATATTTTATAAATAAATATAATTACATAAAGATTTTATGATAAATATCTAAATCCACCTTCTGTGTTTTATTAGGTATATGAGGTCGAATTTATGTTTGCAAGCCCTTTGAATCTTTTAATGGTATAATATCTTTTAGCCTTAAAAAAAATAAAAATAAAAATAATATCTTTTACCCAATCCACCAGTGACGATCAACGTGACTAGCATTAGAATATTAAGAAAAAACAGAAGTAGAATACATTCAGTTACCTTCTCCTAGCCCGCCCTTCTCTCTCTTGCTCTCAGCGGCCCCCATTCTTCTTTCTTCTCTCTCTAAAAATCCATCCAATGGAAGGACAAATCTCGCGGTCACTCTCCATTCGAACTTCCACAGGCTATATGCTCCTCATCTGCAACGCAAGCAGATGCCTTTCATCTATTCTCTATTCTTCTCGGGACCACCCTTTCCTTTCAAACTGTCAGCTTCCATTCCAGGTTTTCGATCATCCGAGGCCAAAACCCCCGGAGATAAGCCTGCCTCACATTTTGTTTGATCGATGTGGTTAGGAAATTTGTATTTTTTTTGGCTTCTGAGTTGGTAATTGAGAGATGGGATTTGGCATCTTGGTTAGAAGTTCATCTTTGGTGTTTAAGGTTTGATTGGAATTGATATATTTTGGATTGTTGATTTATTGCGAGTTTTGGATTGGGGATTGTGGAGTTAGGATTGAGAGTGGAATTTGTGGGTTTTGATGGCGTCGATTTCGCTGGAGGAAGATGGTGGGAGAGGAAGCATGTGGGATTTGGATCAGAAGCTTGATCAGCCCATGGATGAAGAAGCTGGAAGGCTTAGGAATATGTACAGAGAGAAGGTATTCTTTTGCTACTCCCTTTTTCTAGGTTGCTGTGGCTGCTTCTTGTCTATTTTTGATTTTTTTTTTGGGAGAAGTATCATTCCTTCGTTTCATAAAAGAAAAATAAAATTGTATCTTATTTTACATACTCTTCATTTGTTTTGCTTTTGTTGATCACAGTATATGGTAATTACTGAAGTTCTTGCCCTGTATTTATAAGGAAAAATGGGTTTGAAAGATGTTTTTTGATATCAGAGATTTTGGAAAGTTCTTAGTTTATTCAGATCTTTGAAATAAGGCTAGTAATTTCTTTATAGTTATTTCCACCATGCTATTAGGAATGGCTGATATTCTGGATTTTTTTTTCTTTTTTGCAATTTTCTATTTTTCTGATTTATTTTTTGTTTTGTAATTTTCTATATTTGCAGTAATCTATGACACTTTTCAAAATACAATCATCTATTGTTTCTTTGCTGCATAGATGAGACATTTTGTTGGCTTCCTTTTTGTTCTTATTTTTTCTTGTTGATCAAATTGCACACTGTGGTGAACCGGTGAGGTGCGTTGAGGGATAGATTTGAGTTTTTTCATGCAGTGAGGCCTCCCTGAATTTTATTGGCAATTCGATCTGCTTTTGAATCTTAACTCTTTTTCCTGAGGTTGGGGCCATGGAAACACTTCTTTTACGTGGCGATCATTATGGCTGAGTAGCATATTTCTTTGACAATTTTGATAATTTGGTTTACAAGTAAAGTCTTACTTTCTATTTAATTAATAATCATATTAATTCTGCAAACAAAAGAAAAAAAAAATATTAATTCTGCAATCTGCATGATATTATATTTCGTGAATGAAAATACAAAATGAATTCCTTTTGTTTAGTCCAGCATTAAGCCCTTTTGTTGTTATTAAAGAAGATTTTACTAAACTGAAAATTTGTAAATCTTCTTAGCAGAAATTCTCGTCATTGTTGCTTCTAAGACTATCATTCCAGAGCCTTGGAGTAGTATTTGGAGATTTGGGCACATCGCCATTATATGTTTTTTATAACACATTTCCTCATGGAATAAGCGATCCCGAAGATGTTATTGGAGCCCTTTCTCTGATTATATACTCTCTAACTCTAGTCCCGCTTCTCAAATATGTCTTTGTGGTGTTGAGAGCAAACGACAATGGCCAAGGTAAAGCATTATTGTTCTTATAAATGCAATTTTTATGTTATTAAATCTTTCTACCGCAAGCTGTTCATGGTGAACTCTCATACCTTTTGAACTATTAAGAAGTACTGCTTTCCAACTGTAATTGGAATCTAGTCATGATTATTCGACAAATTTTACACTGGCTGTCAACTACCTAACGCAACCCTTCACTTTTCTCATCCAGGACTTGGGACCTGACAACGGCAGTGTTAAATTGGAATCTAAGTCTAACAAAAAAATTGCTTAAGCATGCTTCTTTCAGTATGATTTTGAAAGCAACAATACTGACTTGGATGCTATCATTAGTGAAAATTAAATGAATCTAGCATCAAAGGCTTTAGAATAATTGCTATGTATGTTATGAGGATTCTAGTCTGTAAACAAGCTTGATTATTTATTATTTATTCTAATTTAAGGAATATACCAGCATTTTCATATCATTCATATTTTACGTGATTTTGTTATCTCAAAATGATGGAAAAATCAAGAAACCGACCCACAGCTAGGATCTCATTGGCAACATTTTCTATAAATGGCTCATTTGCAGTCCTATATAGTCAACACAATAAAGTGTAATCTAGTTTATTGCTTTACATGCTAAAATGCATGGCTTTAGTTAATCTACACTGCCTAAAAACTTTGTAATACTATAAATAACCACCGCTCTTTCATGGTCATCTTAGCCCCTTTCCATAAGAAGATGTTGATTATTTAGAAGTTGTTCGTGCTCTATGGGAAGGAACAACTAGTTTCGAACTACGAGCTGCTAATTTTGCATCAGCTACTTGGTTTGTTGTCTTCACAAGTATCACCTTAGCATGCTTTTGAAAAGTCTAGATATTTGAGTAACCTATTGATAAATTTAGATCTTTCTTAGCATTTCATCCTCCTGAAATGAACTTTCTAGGAAATTTTATGTGAAATTACTGCTATGGGTTTCTAAGGTTAAAATCAAGTTCTGAAATAATATGATAAATTCAGCAATGAATTATAAACCCATAAAATTAACAAGTGAATTTTATTTCCAAAAATTAAAATTTTGATTTGCCGATGTTTTATCAGAATCAAGATTCTAAGCAAGTCAATATCAAGTTATGTTGATGAAATAGACAAAATAGGAAAAATGAGGACCCACATTGATACAAGGAGATGTTTATCCTCGAAATTAGGTGTTCCTATTTGTACTACACTTGAAGGAATCACACATTCAATTTGTTCTCACAAAATAGAATCTAGAAAGAGAAATTTTAGTCAAGCTAAAGTTTTTTTTTTACATGCCTCGTAATATTTATAGGCTCCTACTATCCAATGCTAGTAGATATGGTTAGCACAAAGCAACCCCAATTTAGTTCTAGTAATCCTAGAATTCAAGCCTTTATATTTGATCCAAAATTTAAACAACCATATAGAAGAAAATCCCATGAAGTCTATGTTGTGTGAAAAAACCTGGAAACTGGTTAGGTGAAATCCATGAATAGGAAGAATAACGAATACCGTAAATAGTGGCAAACGCTTATCAAATCCTTCACGTATGTAGCAGTAGAATAGATTGTGACCATGTAGTCCCATGCATAAGCAATAGTAAAATTCTCCACACAATTAGTAATAGGTAAGCAGATATACTGCAAATGCCATCTAACAATAAAGCCAAGTTCCAGCAATAGGAAAAAATAGCCCCACATGCCCAACACCAAATCACAGCCTAAGTCAAAATTCCAAAAGATAAATCCAACATCCACCTCCCAAATAGACCAAGAAATATGCCACCACCCAAACGTTAACTTGTACGAATATTCCACCACGAAGGAATTGGTTGTTTTTTAAATGATTCAGTTGTATGATTTTTCGGGGTTTGTATTTGTATATTTTGTTATTTTATAGCTATTATGTCTGTTCAACTAATATATCTACACTGCAAAAATGCAAATCGAGGACTAAACCACATATCTCTAGATATTTTACTAGTTTGAATTTTGAGGTATTTAACTATTTTTGCAAATGAAAGATTCGAGAATCATTCTTAATGCTTAATGCAAACTTCTAAATGCCCCAAGTTTTCTCCAATTCCTCTTCCTTGATACTGATGCAATTTTTCATGCTATGTATTTTGTAGGGGGTACTTTTGCTCTATACTCATTACTTTGTAGGCATGCCAAGATAAACACCATCCCCAACCAGCGTAAAACTGATGAAGAAATAACAACTTATAGTCGCCAAACATATGAGGAAAATTCACTTGCATCAAAAGTTAAGTCATGGTTAGAGGCTCATACATACAAGAGAAATGTTATTCTTATTCTTGTTCTTATTGGAACTTGTATGGCTATTGGTGATGGTATACTTACTCCTGCCATTTCAGGTACATTTTCTCCATAAATGGTCTTTTTCTGTTAGGATTACCTTTTCCCTTCTCTGCATGTTGTCTGTTATTCACATTGCTCCGATGCTCTCACTCTTACATTTCCAATATTTATTTCTGATAACAAAAATGAAATTATTTCTTATCTTATTGATTTTCAATCTGATGCTGCGTTAATTAATTCAGTATTTGCCATTCTAAAAATAGTTAATCAGTAATATCTAATCATTGCTTATGTTTCTATTGGTTTTCAAGATCATTTGTGCTGTTTGACGTATCTTTAAGCACTAATGATGAAACTTGCTGAACTTTGTTTGCAGTGCTCTCAGCATCTGGTGGAATCAAGGTTAACCACCCTGAGATTAACAAAGGTAATTTTGAGGATATTTGTTATTTTAACTGCTTGCGTGGCTTTGGATTAATAGTGAGCCTCAAGTCCTTGGCATTTATTCCCCATCTTTTGTTGAACACTGTACTATCATGGATGCTTCCAAAATTTTGAACTTCCATAACAAAAAATCACCTTTTTTGCGGTAAAATACTGTTTTATTTTTCAATTCATTTATCACAATGTGTTTGGCACTGAAAGAGTTCCAAAATGTTAATTCCTCTTCTTTTTGTTCATATTCTTCCACACCCTTCCCATGGCTCCCAACTGCCTCATAGAAAACCTCTCTGAACAACCTTAAACCTTTGCTGCTATGCACATTTTGTATTGAAATGGTGTGGCATAACTGATGTTTTTTTTTTTTCCATTTACAATCTCAATATGACAGATGTGGTTATAGTGGTGGCGGTGATCATATTAGTTGGATTGTTCAGCGTGCAACATTATGGTACAGACAAAGTTGGCTGGTTATTTGCTCCCATTGTCCTACTTTGGTTTCTTTTAATAGGAGTCATAGGAGCAGTCAACATCTGGAAATATGACAGTTCGATTCTCAAAGCTTTCAATCCAGTTTATATAGTTAGATACTTCAAAGGTGGTCATAGGAATTGGACTTCCCTTGGAGGAATCATGCTAAGCATTACAGGTTATCCCCTCTAAATATTTAAATGATTATTTTTCTTGGTCATCAAATTAATTCTATTTACTTGCAGCTGCTAAGCTGAGATTATATATATGATACTTCTTTTTTTCAGGAACTGAAACCTTATTTGCTGACCTATGTCATTTCCCTGTTCTTTCGGTTCAGGTAAATTATCTTGTTTAAGCAACCATTTTTAGGCTTCGTTTAGGACAGCTTTCTTCTTGCTTTTTAAAGCGGCTTTCTAGTACAAAAATTAATTTTTTTTGTACTAGAAAACTATTTTAAGAAGCAGTAAGAAAGCTGTCCGAAACGAAGCCTTAATGTTGACACTTGCATACAACCGACACAAGAAGCAATTTACTTGTTATGCAGATTGCTTTCACTCTTGTTGTGTTTCCATGCCTTCTTTTGGCATATTCTGGGCAAGCAGCTTACATTATGCAGCACCAAGATCATGTTTGTAATGCATTTTATCGATCAATTCCAGGTTGGTCATCTTATCTACCTTAGCTTCAAGCCATACGTGTATATCTTGTTTGAAATAATAGCGATGCTTTATTTACATGCAGATAGCATATACTGGCCAATGTTTATTGTTGCAACTGCAGCAGCTATTATTGCTAGTCAAGCCACAATATCTGCTACGTTTTCTATAATCAAGCAGGCACTTGCTCTTGGTTGTTTCCCAAGGGTCAAGGTTGTTCACACATCAAAGAAGTTTCTTGGACAGATATACATTCCTGACATTAATTGGATTCTTTTGGTTCTCTGCATAGCTGTTACCGCTGGATTCGAAAATCAAAGCCAGATTGGCAATGCATACGGTAAGCCTGTTTCCTCATTTTTTCCCCCTTTTCGAGGTGATTTTCATATTATTTGAACTAGGGGTGTCAATTTGGGTCAACGGGTCGGGTTCGGGTCCAACTCGAGTTGACCCGGGTGTAAACGGGTTGACCCGAACCCAACACGTTTAGCTAAACGGGTCAGGATATATAACCCGGACCCAACCCATGCGGGTTACCGTGTTGACCCGACCCGACCCGCAAACCCGAACCGAACTTAATGGGATTTCAAAAAATTAAGTTACACGGCATCGATTGGATGTTTTTTTCTTCTATGTATGCGTATTATAACCCCATTGATTGGATTATTTTTTTGGTTAGTTTAATGGTAAATATAGATGCATATCTTAATATATATATTGCTTTTTTCAAAAAAAAAATATAATAAAAAAAAAAGTTTATTAAAATTTAGTTACACGACATCGATTATTTGTATGTTTAAAAAACTCAGCGGAGTTCAAATAATTTCTTAGCCATCGTTTAGAACAATTTTACATAATTATTTTTTCTTTAATTTCAAAAGATTTTTTACTAACAGGTTATCAGGGTCGACTCGCGGGTTTTCGGGTCGACCCCAGCCCGACCCGTTTAACAAACAGGCCAAAAATTCGAACTCGGACCTGACCCGTTTTACAAACAGGTCGACCCAAATCCGGATTTTTTCGGGTCGTGTTGATTTTTGAAACCCCTAATATGAACTATGCACAAAGTTCACCTTTAATGAATACCGTCAACTTTTATTTCTTGTCATTCTTCTTGTTTTAGTCACATTGTTTACAGACATCATGCCTGAAAAACTAGAATGAACGAGAAATTTCATCTCATTCATGCATCTCTCTTTGCAAAATAAATTCCTTTTACTTCACTTGATTGCTTGTGAATTTGGTTGGCCTGCAATGGTTTACGGTGCATAATGTTGGCCATTAAAAGAGAAGCATACAATTAAGTTAAGTGTTGTAAAAATGAGAATGCTCAGGTGGATGAGTGGCTTTACACTTAGAGATAGAATGTGAAACAAGCATATAAGTGAAAAGGTTTGAGTAGCTACAGTGGCAGATAAGATTAGAGACAATCGCCTTAGATGGTTTGGTCATATAAAATGTCGCCCTTTTGATAACTTGGTTATGAGAGTATATGTATTAAATTTTGCCTATGTTAAGAGAGGTAGAGGTAGACCTAAGAAAATTTGGTTAGAAAAAAATTAGAAATAACATTTTTTATCAGATTTAAATGTGAATTTGACTCTTAACCGAACACAATGGAGAAAAATGATTCATGTAGCTTACCCCACGGAATGGAATAAAGGCCTAATGATGTTGTTTTCCTTATATTAAAAGGAAATCTAGATTTTTGGTTATTATATCCCAGAAAATTTCCCTTTGTTGTATGCTGCAGGTGCCTATCATGTTTTTCATGTTATGGTTTTTTTGTAGATTAGCCAATGCGGACTTTGGACCTCTACTGAGTGAATTTTTCCTGCACACAAGTGTTAGGGTAGGATTTAAGATCGTTCTACCATATTTTAGCTATAGTACTATGAGTTGATTATTTCATGTTTTTTGGCTTTATTTAAATCTGGAATCAGGTGAAGGAGGCCCTATACTTGTTTTTAAAACTAAATATATTCTATGCCAGGAACCGCTGTTGTACTTGTCATGCTAGTTACAACCTTGTTGATGATCCCTGTCATGCTCTTGGTATGGCGAAGCCATTGGATCCTCATTTTCCTCTTCACTGCTCTCTCCCTTCTAGTCGAGCTGACATACTTCTCTGCAGTCCTATTCAAGGTCAATCAGGGTGGATGGGTCCCTCTTGTCGTAGCCGCCGCCTTTCTCCTCATCATGTTTGTTTGGCATTATGGCACAGTGAAGCGCTACGAGTTCGAGATGCATTCAAAAGTTTCGTTGGCTTGGATCGTCGGTCTAGGCCCGAGTCTTGGCCTTGTTCGTGTCCCTGGCATTGGTTTTGTATACACTGAGCTAGCAAGTGGAGTTCCCCATATCTTCTCACACCTAATAACCAATCTTCCCGCAATCCATTCAGTCGTCATCTTTGTTTGTGTGAAGTACCTCCCAGTCTATACTGTTCCAATGGAAGAGCGTTTCATTGTTAAGCGAATCGGTCCGAAAAATTTTCATATGTTTCGGTGCGTCGCAAGGTACGGATACAATGACCTTCACAGAAGGGATGATGACTTTGAAAAAATGCTATTTGATACCATCTCTACTTACGTTCACCTCGAGACGATGATGGAAGGCTACACTGATTCAGAAGACTTTACTTTTGATCCACAAAGGAATGTCAAGTCTGTTGATCTTGTTGCCGACAATGATGTTGCAGACTCCATTGTGGAGATGGCAAGCAATCCATCACTAGACTGTATAACATCTGCTCCATCGCCGCACCCGGGTGCGATTTCGATTAGATCCAGTGATGAAACTGATTTCTTGAACAGGTGCAAGGATGCTGGGGTGGTGCACATATTGGGCAACACAATGGTGATGGCTCGAAGGGACTCGGATCTTGTTAAGAAGATTGTTGTGGACTATATTTATGCATTTCTTTGGAGGATTTGTAGGGAGAACAGTGTGATGTTGAATCTTCCCCATGAGAGTTTGTTAAACGTTGGGCAGATATTCTATGTATAATTCATGCAGTATAAGGTTTCAATGAAATTTTGAGTTTCTGTATTTTCACTTTTATGCGTATGCTTATTTATGCTTCTCTTTTCTCCCCCTTATATCTTCAATGCATCTCATTTTATGTTCCTTTGTGCGTTTGGAAGTTTTCTGTTCGGCCTGAAGTGTTTTGCAAGGAACTATTTGTTTGGAGATAATCAATGAGTAAATGTATTCTCTGATCTTCCCAATAGACTGCATGGTGTGGATACTAATACCAATGTTTTTAAAATTGGGCCGGTCCAGCAGGTTCAACAGGTTGAATCGGTTCTTGGCCGGCCGGTTCGAATACACTATGAAACCGGCTAAACAAAGAACTGGTCCCACCAGCTAAACAAAGAACCGGTCCCACCAACAAATAACCGGTCCCACCACTGTTCGGACCATGAAACTAGCGAACCAAAGAGTGGGCTCAAACCGCTCAATTAAGCGTAGACGTGAAATCTCAACCATGTGATTTCGATCATGCAGATATTTGAGAAATAACTCAAGTAAAAAGTAAAACCTAAGTGTATTTCGGTATTTCTTCAACTCCTATAACTCCCGAAGCCGCACTAACCGGTCTGATTTTCAAAACTTTGACTAATACTCACAAAGTTAGTCTCTTTTCATACAATATAGTATTTAGAGTATTTATTTATATCAGTATAAAGTGCCTATATTTGGCACTACATATTTGAAGTTATATAGTATTGAATTTCTACACTGTTTCTTTTAAGTTTTTGTTTCAACCTTTAAAGAAGATGAAAACCATGAAATTATCTAACAGTTTTAATCATCCTAACGTTGGCTTAATGTGGACTTTAGTAGTATAATGGCTCTTTATAGGAATAATTAAAGTGAATATATGTGTATATAATAAATAATTTTAAATGAATCAATTTCATATAAGATATATGATTCAATCACATTTGAGTATGATTCGAGCAAATATTTGATTTAGTTTCAAATATGATTTGAATTTGAACCATTTTCAAATCATTTTCAAAACATGATCAAAGTTTATTCAACTATTGTTCAATTTAGGTACCAAAATAAAAACGATCTTTGAAGAACGTTCAGTTCAATCATTTGTTTAACATATTTAAATCAAGTTTAGGAAAAAATTTGGTAAAATTTGAAGATTATAATGGTATATCTAATATCTTTCTTGGTTTAAGGATTCAAATTGTTAGAGATATATATATATAAAGGTTTATTTTCAAAATTCAAGCGTATTTTGATCCAAATAGAATTTTCCTGAGACCTTTCAAGAAAAATGGAATGATAAACATAATCTTCTAGACATTATATGAATATATAAAGTCAAATATACACATTAATGAAATAAGAACAAATTAAATTCAAATATTATTTAATTTTTTTTTTTCTTGCAAAATCATGCCAAAGTTAAATTTAAGCTAAAATTAAAATCTCTTGCACTCAATCATGAATGCTTTCCATCCAACCAACACCCCAACCTCCCAAGTTCTCAATTTTTGCATTGCACTATGAACACATTTTGTGCAAAATGAATCTCTACTTTTAAAAAAAAATATTCTGTTTGGACTACAGACGGTGTCCAGAGGCAAACCAGAATGCGCCACATCACTTCTCTGCTCGATATTTATGCTATGTATCATTATGTATCAAATTACATGATGCATTCTATTTGATCTCCAGATTGTCCGATGTCCACACATAATAATTTCTCATACATTACAAATCTTATCAAGGGGTGGTTAAGCGGCTAATAGTTGAAAATTCGTGCAGGCCAAAATATAATATGAAGTAAATAACATATTTTAAACATCTTATAGCATTTGATTGCTTGCCAAAAAAAAAAATAAGAGTTTAATATTTTGTGCTAGCAAATTAAAATATAATATTTTTAAATAAGAATCTAAATGATCCCTTGTTTAAAAAAAATAAGGGACCAAATTAATCTTTGTATATAGTCAAGAACTATTTTGATACTTCAAAAAAATTTACTTCTCAATCATCATTTTTATATTTATTTAAATATATTTTTCTGTGACAATTTTCAAAAAAATACAGTAAAAATACCCCAACCGAAATTAATATTATTTTTATAGATCATTTTTCCAGCCATTAAAAAAAAACTTTTCCAAATGAAACCTGAATCAGATGAACAGCTTCAAACCTGAATTAGAGGATCATCAATCATCAAAAATTAGAGATGGTTTAGATGGTTTAAATACTTACTAATCTTTAAGGAATAATCATGCCACCATTAGGAGAAATTATTAGGTGCGGACACCAGACGGAGAGACCGTCCAATTTTCTCTCTGTCTACAGTAAAAACGCAGTCAAAACGCAACTGTTACAGTAACTACGCTTTTACTATAGACAGAGAGAAATCCGAATGATTCTCTTTGTCTGGTATCCGCACCTAATAATTTGCCCACCATTAGAGATGGCTCTTCAAGTTTAAGTACCATCAACTAGCTAAGTTATGAGAGCAAGGAGAGAATAACCATGCCATCATTCATATCCATTGAATAAATACAATATGATGAATATGAAGTACCCAAATAGTGAAAATCTGAGTTCTTAATTCATATTCCATATATAACTTCAAACATAACGATTACAGAAAAAAAAAAAAGTTCAACACTTACCAGATTTGTTTTACTCGTCATCTTTGTATGGGTATTCCTCTGGAACTTGTTTTATAAGTTTGACGCGTAGCTCATATGCATCATCACCATGTAGCATATCTCGTACCCAACTGACCTCGGTTTTCATGGACACCTGAATTCAAATTTAGTGTGTTCTGGAGGTTCTTTAAAGCTTACAAATTCTATTCTCAAGAAGCTATTAATGTTTCGTTTGGGATGGCTTTTTTATTGCTTCTTAAAGCAACATTTTAGTACAAAAAAGCTACTTTAAGATGCAGAAAAAAAAAAGCCGTCCTTAGGCTTCATTTGGGTAGACTTTCTTACTGCTTCTTAAAGTAGCTTTATAGTACAAAAATTTTAATTAGCTTAGGCTTCGTTTGGGACAGCTTTCTTACTGCTTCTTAAAACAGCTTTCTAGTACAAAAATTTTAATTTTTGTACTAAAATTTTTGTACTAGAAAGCTGCTTTAAGAAGCAGTAAGAAAATTGCTTTAAGAAGTAGTAAGAAAGCCGTCCCAAACGAGCCTAAAAGCTAATTAAGAACTGCTTCAAGCTTGAAATGATAAAGCGACAGAGAAGAAATAAGACTGGAAAGAAAGGAGTAGAGAGAAAAAACGAACCATCTCTAAGGCACCTCTAACAACTCCGCTTAAGATATTGCAGTAATAAAGGCCTTGGCAAGTGTCTGGAAGCTCAACAAATTCAACGAGTGGGTTATCCTCCAAAACGAGGCTGCAAGTAGTGCCCTCAACGTCCCAATTGGTTACTGTTGCAGTAACACCCAAGAACATTTTGAAACCGACCTGTTTCATCGACATTATAAGAGCTTTATCGTACTTATCGCTACTAATGGCAGATTTTAAAGAGTAATTGCAGATAGCCTGATGAAAAAGAGAGTTTTCTTTTTGTTTGCCTTTTTCCTTTTGTTGATTGTGTGTATGGGTGTTTTTTTTGGTTTCTTGTAAGCCAAAACATCATCATAAAAACATAAAACTAGGTAAATTTCCCGGTTGGGTACCTGGGTTGGATATAATAAAAGTAGGCATGTAAAACTCCACAAAATTTCAAGAATAAAAAAGGGGTGTAAAATGAAACAGTTGGATTTTTTTTTAGATAACTTAAAAAATCCTGTGAATTTGTGAAACTTCTCTTGAAATGATCAATTTCAGTGATGAAGTTTATTGTTAGACCGGTCCAGTCAGCCCATGAGGGACCGGCCTTTGTATATACCAAGCGGAAGCCTGGTTCCGCACAGGGCATTGTTTGCAACCCTTGGGGTGGGGTCCACATCTTAATAAAGAGAGACGAGGGGTGCAGGTGAGAGGAAAATTTGAATTGAAGGGGCTGTTTTGATATTTTACTTTGAATTGTATGCTTTTAATAGTTGTTTTCACACTAGGGTTAGGGTTAATCTTTATTTTGACTGAAATTAGGTTGTGCTTAGGGAATTTTGGGCTCTAGCTTCTGGCTAGGGTTTGAGAGAATCGTATCTTCCTCTCCAATTGAAGATCATTATATCTTGTTGCTTTTCTTTCATAATTCTTACAATAAAAGTGATTCGAGGAGTGTTCTTCCAATTTTAGCTTGTGGTTTGCTATTTTGGGTTGAAAGCTCTCATATTTCTTATCAAATTGGTGTCAAAGCACTCTTTAGGGACCTATGGCGGCGAAGAAGATGGAAGTGTTGGAAGGTGAGATTGAATAACTCAATACCGAAATGGATGAGAGGTTTTCTAGAATTGAAGGAAGATTCACATCCGTGGAAGGAAGGTTCTCATCCATGGAGAACCGCTTTGGAAATATGAAAGACATGATAAAGAAGTTGATTGAAATGCAATCGAAGGCTTCATTGATTATTCCTACGGATGATCGGAAGGGGAAGACAATTCAGGGAGATGATGATGATGAAGTGGAGAGCATTTTCCCTTAAGGACCATCCAAGAATATTTTGATGGGAGGTGCGTCGGGGTATCCGAAAGAGAGGACAACAAGAAGAGGGGAATCTGAACCCTTTTGGAAACCACCTAGGCATGAGGGAAGGTGGATCGATGGAAGCTATGATTGGGCCGAACTATGGGGTCCAAATCAGCCAAGGGAAGAAGGGAGAGAATCGCACCACCATTACACAGGAGAAACCAATAATGGGAGAAACTGGTGGGATATGGATGTGAGTCGAGGAAGTTAAAGATGTCGGTCTTAGAAGGGGAAGATGCTCAGGGATGGGTGTATCAAGTAGTGTGTTACTTTGCTATCAATGGGCTGACTGAAGGAAAAAAAAAAATTATGGCGGCGGTTCTATGTTTGGAAGGGAAAGCCCTAGCTAGGTTTCAATGGAGGGAGGCTAGGCATTCGATCTACTCATGGGGAGAATTTAATGAGTGTTTATTGAAATATTTCCGAGTCATTAGAGATGGAGACCTTAACAAGTAGTTCTATGCCCTAACAAAGAAGGGGACGGTTATGGAGTACCAGGAGAAGTTTAAGCTACTGTAATGTAGGCTGAGAGGAATCTCTGAGGAAGGATTGGAAGGGAATTTCATGAAGGGACTTGGGGAGGACGTATGAGCATATCTCAAGGTGCTTAGATCAAGAAGGCTGAGAGAGATGATGGAGCTTGCTCAAAGGGTGGAGGAAAAATATCAGAAGGAGAAGACTAGCAGAAACAACATCATGGGAGGGGCTTATAGGAGTACCTCTACAATCCTAACACCTAGAACCCAGATAGTGTCCTTTCAGAGAGCAGCTCTAAAGGAGAAGAGTAATGGAGTTCTTTCAAGAGACAACTTCAAGGGACTTACAGAAGCAGGGGTGTAAGATAAGAGGGTAAAAGGGTTATGTTTCGGATGTAATGAGAGGTATATGCCGGGGCATAGGTGTAAGGACTGAACTCTTCAGGTTCTCACCATCTGTGATGATGAGGAAGCTGAGGAGGGAGGTGGGAGTAAGGCAGTAGACATGACAGAGGTCTCCTTGAACTCATTGGTGGGGTTCGCTCCAAATCACAATATGAGGGTGAGAGGATAAATAGCAGACAGCAAGGTAGTGGTGTTGATATATAGTGGGGCTACCCACAACTTCATCTCCAACCAAGTTATATACCAATTGGGGGTGAAACTGGTGGACATCAGGTGCTATGGGATGATGATGGGGACTGGAAAGACGGAGACAAGTAGATGAGTGTGTAGGGGAGTAATCCTGATTATACATGGAGTCCAAATGAGGAAGGATTTTCTCCCATTGGAGCTAGAGAACACTGATGTCATCCTGGGGATGAGATGGCTGCAGACCTTGGGTGATACCAAGGTAAATTGGGGAACGCTGACAATGAAGCTGATGGTGGAAGGGAGAAGGGTCGTGATTAAGGGAGATGCAGGGCTTTGCAAAGCCATAATGTCTTTCAAAATTATGGTAAGGGCCATACAAGAGGTGGAAGGATAATTTTTGGTGGAGCTGCAGAGCTTAGAGGAGATCAAAGTTTAGAGGAAGAGGGGGTATCCGTCTTTCGATATTGTCGGTTATACAACAGTTCAGTCAGATTTTTCAGCCACCTCAAGGGTTGCCACCACCAATGGAGCAGGAGCATGCCATCACTTTGAGGGAAAGGGTATCACCGATCAATGCCAGGCCGTACCGCTACCCTCAGACCCAGAAGAATGAGATTGAGAAGCCGATCATAGAGATATAGGAGGCAGGGATCATTAAGTCAAGCATGAATCCTTTTTCTAGCACCATTCAACTGGTAAAAAAAATATGTAAGCTGGAGATTTTGTGTGGACTACTAGGCCCTGAATAAGGAGATTGTGCTAGACAAATTTCCTATTCCGATGATAGATGAGCTTTGTGAAGCGGTAGTATTCACGAATATGGACCTTAAGTCCGGATACCATCAAACCCGGATGAGGAGGATGTTCCAACGACGACATGCAAGACACATGAGGGACACTACGAGTGCTTTGTGATGTCATTTGGCCTCACCAACGCCCATGCTACCTTCCAGTCCCTCATGAACAAGGTGTTCCGACCATACCTCAGGATGTGCATCATGTCCAAGGAGCATTTGGAGTATTTGAAAGTGGTCTTAGAGGTGCTATAGGAGCATCAACTGAGGGCCAACCTAAAGAAGTGTCATTTTGAACGGGCCAATGCATAGTACTTGGAAAACGTAGAATCTCAGGGGGGGGCAACCACTGATTAGACCAAGATTAAGACCATGTTGAAATGGCCTCTGCCTAGAAATTTGAGGGAGCTGAGAGAATTCCTAGGGTTGACTAGGTACTATAAGAGATTCGTGAGAGGATACAACACCATAGCCTGACCACTGACCGAACAGCTGAAGAAGGATAGCTTCTTATGGAAAGAGGCAGTGACCTAGGCCTTTGAGAGGTTGAAGACAACCATGACCGCGTACCTGTTCTAGCCCTACTCGATTTCAGCCAGATGTTTGTGATCGAGACTAATGCATCAGGATGTGGATTGGGGGCAATGCTCATGAAGAACCATCGGTCTATAGCTTACTACAGCCAAGTGTTGACATCCAAGATCAGACTGAAATCAATCTATTAAAGGGAGTTGATGGCTATTATATTAGCTATTCAAAAATAGCAGCCTTACTTGTTGGGCTGATATTTCACTGTTAAGACAGATTAGAGAAGCTTGAAGTACTTGTTAAAGTAGATGATGGTGACCGAGAAGCATCAAAGGTGGCTATCAAAGTTGTTGGGCTATGATTTTGAGATCCAATATAGGCTAGGGTTGGAGAATAAGGCGGATGATGCTTTATCTAGATGCATGTGGGAGCTCCAAGAGTTAGTCATTTTGATATTGTTGATGTTGGATTGGGGGGCTATTAAGGAGGAGAGTGTGCATGATGAGGAGTTAAGAAGGATTAGAGCGGATCTACTGAAAGATGAGAGTAGCCACCTTAGTTATTCTGTAGATGGGGAGATACTGCTCTATCAAGGGAGGTTTGTGCTATCCCAAACCTTGATCCATATCCCACACTTGCTACATGAGTTCCACGGAAGCGCTTTTGGGGGGCCCTATGGTGTGCAGAAAACATACATGAATTGGCTGTAAAGTTATATTAGAAGGGGATGCACAAGGATTTAGAGGAGATGATGGCTATGTGTGAGATAAGCTAGAGGAAAGTGCATGGACATGGCTCCGAAGGGACTACTACAATCCCTAAGCTCTTCCAAGCAGAGTGTGGGAGGAGGTCTCCATGTATTTCAAATACGGGTTACCCTTATCCAAGGGGTTTACAATTATTTTGGTGGTGGTGGACAGATTGAACAAATATGCTTAGTGACACAGTTGTTGGCATTCATTAGAGAGGTGGTCAGATTATATGGGATACCGAAATCTATAGTATAACACTTTATATCATTCGACATCCTAGATGACTCCTTTTAAAGTGTTGTACGTAATGGATCTGCATCATTTGATGCACTTTGGGCAGAGTAGTACACCAATTTTTTTAGTAAGGCGGTACTTGGAGAGGAGGGATAGGGTGTTGGAGGAATTGAAAATACACTTGTTGAGGGCCCAGCAAATCATGAAAAGGTAGGCAGATGGGGGCAGAAAGGACATTCAATTTGAGGAAGGGGATATGGTGTATTTGAAGCTTTGTCCCTATAGATAAATGACAGTGGCTAGCAAAAGAAATAAGATGTTTGCCCCGAGATACTTTAGCCCTTATGAGACATTAGAGAGAATTGGAGCAGCGGTGTATCGTTGAGGTTACCACCAACTGCTACCATACACCCGATATTCCACGTTTCATAATTGAGGAGAGTTGTATGGGACCATGCAGCAAGTGCAAAGTTACCAATGACATTGACGGAGGATTTGGATGCGGTTTTGGAACCACTGAAGTTGGAAGGAGTGCGACAAGGAGAGCGAGGAAGTAAGGAAGTGTTGATAAAGTTGAAGAACTTATCCAAATATGATGCCATGTGGGAGTTGTATAAGATGATTAATCATCAATTTTATTCCTTCCATCTTGAGGACAAAGTGGTTCTTTGGTAGAGGAGTATTGCTAAACCGGTCTAGGAGAGATCGGCCTTGATGCATACAAACTTCATTTCAATTTTATTCTTAATTTGAACTTAATTGTAATTTGAATTTTATATATTTTTTTAATGTTTTTTCTACCCTATGATGGAAGACAACCAATGATCATGTATAGGTTGTGCTCTTGGACATGCTATTCCTATGGTGTGCTAGTTTCTTTGGTGCCATGACATTTGGGCTGACTTGGGTTTGACCCAAGTTCCGTGGTTGTGGTTTAGTTGATTCGGGTATGTGCTAGTTGTCTTGCCAGCTGATGTCTTGATTGTTGGGATTTAGTTGCCTTTATTAGGTTCATTTTTCTGCTTTTGTGCATCTCTCGGTTCATTCCCCCCTTAATGCCTCTTCGATTCTTCTGTCTGTCCCGATACACGCCCCTGACGCCTGTTCCGTTCATTGGATGTTCTTGTTTCCCGCGTGCCCCTTCTTGTGCTGCTACAGGCGGCTGACTTCTGGTATTTTATCTCCCTCTATCTTATTGGTTTGAGTGGGCAACTGTTTGGTTGTTTGGTTCCCTTTCTTCACCTATATATTGGTGCTGCTTTGTGACATTTGGGAGCAAAATTTGGTGAGTGATAAACACTAAGACCTGAGGGTTTCTTCTTTGATAGCTTGCGAGTTATGTACCCCCTTTTTCTTATCCTATATATAATTTCATCTCGGGTTTCTTATATATTTCTTCTCTCCGCAAGTTTTCACCCCCATTTGTATCTAGGGGTGACAATTTCGGGTCATGGATCGGGTTCGGGTCAAACCCAAAACTGACCCGG